GGGGGGCCGGGGGGCAGCCCCCCCGACGGCCCCCGCCGGCCCGGGCTGCGGCGGGGACCCTGGCCGCTCCATTACACTGCCATATGCTGGCGACTCGGGTTTCTCCACGGCTGCCACTCCGAGGAGCCAGCCCCGACCCAGGTGTGTGCACAGACGTGTGCACGTGTGCATGCTCAGAGGGAGTGCACGCTTGGAGAGGAGCCCCAGTGCCTGCCGCTCACTTCCTGCCGGCTGTGTTTATAAACAGTGCCAGGCCCCAGGCCCCAGGGCCCAGGGCCTCTACTCCAGGCCTGTTGGGAAGCCGCCGGGGGGAACGCCAGCCTCCAGGAAGCAGCTGGCCTACCCCAGCCTCCCGCACGGGCTTCTCTGCACAGACTCCTCCAAGCATCCGAGCTGAAACGAGGCAGGCCCCCTCCCCAGGACACGGGTCTGCAAAATGCTGGGGGAGTCTCTCGGGGTGCTGCCAGACCGCGCCCCTGCCCCACGGCATCGCGGGGGGAACCAACAAGCCACATGTGCTGCACCCCTACAGGACAGCTTGGGGAAAGTCCTAGACAGGACATTTCAACCTGCGATGGGAGCAAGAGGCCCAGGCCGGAATTCGGCTCTGGTCTGCAGGACTTAAAAGAAGGTTCGGCCACCACAGGGTCAGCGAGAGTTCACTCGATCGTATTTCAAGGCCCCAGACCAGACAGCAGACCCTACCCTCCAGCCAGAGGGTGGACTCCAGGGGACCCGGAGGCGGGGGCTGCTCCTGGGCAGGTGCGAGGGCAGAGGTGCTGCGGGGCCTGGGAAGGGGCGTGCTCTGGGGGACAGTCTGCCCTAGCCCAACTCCCACCCAGGCCGCGGGAAGAGACGGACTCCTAAGACGCCAGGGAAAAGCAGGGAGAAAACATTCCAGGTCAGGACCTGGGAAGGAGGCCCTGGAGGGAGGGTGTCCCACCTCCCTCGGGAGCAGAAGTCTTAAACATCCTTCCGTGAAATAAGGGTCAGATGGGGACCAGCAGTTGGCGTAATGGCTGTGTCACTGGACTCCCATGTAGTCGACCACAGTTCGAGTCCCGGATCCAGTGGCTTAAACTCACGCCAGGTGCGTGTGCGTGCGTGCCCAAGATCCCGAGAGGAGAATGGAGGAGAAGGGACTGCGGCGTGGCCATCCTCCCTGGGGGGTGATTTCTCGCTTTCTGTCTCTCTGTGTTTCAGGCGAGCTCACGCGCCCTATGCCAAAAACCTCTCCAAAAAGAAAAAAGAAGAAAAGAAAGGATCAGATGCAGGGTACTCAACCCTCGCCTCGGAGGGTGCATCTGGAAGCAGGTACATCCCTGAGATTAAATGGGGCCTCAAACTAGGAAAGGGGACGGCGGACCCTGACCTGGAACCTGAGGACGAGCAAGCTGCAGCAGCTGTCCTGAGGAGGAGGCCTCCCTGGGGGGAAGGGGTCCAAGGATCAATACGAGAACAAACGCGACAGGAGCGAGACGCAGAACCAGGGTGGCCCATAGGTGGTGGGGCCTAGCAAGGTCCCTTGGGAGTGCAGAACAGGAGAGCCCCGAGGCCGGGCCATGGGCTCTGAACCTGTCAGTGAGGTGTCCGGACCCCAGGACTGTCCCAGGGAACCAGGGACGCATGGAAGGCGGGCCCAGACCCCAGGCTGAAAGGGCGACTAAGGCAGGCTGCTGACCAAGGGCAGGCAGGGACCCCATCCCGCATCCCACGGGCAGGGCAAGGTCCGCAGTGGCGCCCGACCGCGCCAGGTGTCAGAGGGGCTGTCAGGAGGAGACAGGGTTCAGAGACCCACGCAGGAGCAAAGGAGCTCCCAGCCCGAGCCAGGTGCATGAACCCCAAGACCCAGCGTGCGTTTGGGGGTGGCTCCGGGCCGGGGTCCTCAGCCCGGACGGTAGCAGCAGTAGCAAGACTCCTCGGAGCAGAGTCGCGAACCCCAGCCCGGCCGGCCAGGGGAAAGACCCAGACACCGGTCCCAGTGCCAAGGAGGTACTGCCGGGGAGGCGGAGAGGCGCGGACACTCCCCCCACGGCGGCAGAGCTCAAGCCCAAGCTGCGGACGCAGAGGCAAACCGGGAGCCCACCCGGGCTGCTGTCCGGGGGGATTGCA